AATAATTCAGAGTTCATTATCAGAACTTATATAAGTTACATGGTAAAACCTTTATCGGTAAATACAGGCCCGACATGGCCAGGTGGTTAGGGCGGTCGACTCGCAATCTGAGGGTCGCAGGTTCGAATCCTCCTCCCACCAAACGTTGCTAAATTAGGGACGGCCCTCAAAACAAACAAACAGTAAATACAAAGTAATAGATTTCTTAATGGAAATTTTAAACACATGTACAGAAATTAACATTGATTATTGGTATCATTTAAATTATCTATATGTGTTTAGCACTATCTTTTGGTTTTCAAAATCACAAATTTCTTTATATATATTTAAAAAAGAACATTTCAAGATATATATGTATATATATATTTTTGCAGTAGCAAGTAAAGACTGAGGTCTGCAATATACTAATTTTACTGTAGGGTATTGACACTTTTATATTCTGTCTAATTAATTGAAAAGCTGTAAGATATATATATACATAACCCATTTATACAGAAGCTGATCTTCAAGTCCGTTTTACTGTATTACTGGTGTAATAAAAGAGACATAAAGCGTTAAGGTAATTAAAACATTTGTTACGTTAAAACGTTGCTAGAGGGTTTAAGCCTAGTGTGCCGGCTGTACAACCGTAACGATCCTGAAATATACTTTCATAGTAAATCTTATACAGTTTTAGAACTCATTAGAAACTATTGATTCATTATCTAAATTTATTTATTGACCAGTCACAGTGGTTTTTAAGGTTTCGGTTCAGAGTTTAACAATTTTCCCTTACTTGTACGAAGTTCAAAGCAAAAACGTAGCGAGTGTTTGCGTTATTTTATTGCTTAGGCAGATTTACAATGAATAAAAAGGTAAAAAAAGGCACAAACTAACGTTTGTTTTACCCCGTTGCAATGTATAGTAATAAATTTTAACGTTTCATTCTACGTGTGAGGCCTATGTTCTTGTTGCTAAACATTGCTAGTAATTGCGTGTACGCTGAATAACAAAACTTAGTGTTCTTAGTCTTTTATTTAACATTCCCGCATATGGAATAAACATTAAGCAACATATGAAAAAGGCTATTTTTTGACAGTAACATGCCTTAATAGCGAGTGAGAGAGTAGACACATTAAGACTGGGTTTTTGCTGTTTATTCATACAGCTTATGTCTACTTCGTGCTAGAACAGTTAGTTTCTATAACACAGGCCTGCGAATTTAAACTTCATAAACGTTTTTTTGGTTTTAATATAAGATTTTCCATAATTTAGCTACGCAAATTTTGAAAATAATAATTTTCTATCACGTAAGGATTTTTTTACTAATCGGGAAGAAAAACAACTCTTACTTAGATCCAATTATTAGTTCGTTTACCACAATGAACTATTTTTTATTATTATGTTTGTTAACAAAAAA